TAAAGGGGGATCCCATGGGGGTACCCTCATTTTGTTTGTAGAAGGAGCCATTCCAAGTAAAGCAGGTATTGTTGAGGCAGTGCCTAACCAGTGCAGGTGTGTCGGGGTCTAGTCCATGTTGGACCAAATTTTCAATTATTTCAATGGTATCAGGTACTGGGACCTTGGTGAACAAAGAGACCACATCGAAGCTGACAACGATATTGTCAGGGGACAGTACGTCTTTGACCATAGAGACCAATTGGGCTGAGTTAAGTACTGCTGAGGCGGTCTTGCCAGTGAAAGGCAGCAAGGTATCTGACAGAATACGGGCTAGTCTATAGGTAGGGGAGTTGATCGTGGATACAATGGGTCGTAGTGGGGTGCCTTCTTTATGAATCTTGGGAAGACCATAGAATCTAGGGGGTCTTGCAGCAGAAGGTTTTAGGGAGGGACGTTTAGTTGGGTCGATTAGGGAGGTCGAACTTGTGATGATCTTGTTGGTTTTTATCGCTAGGCTATTAGTAGGGTCATTTTTTATTTTATTTTTGAGTAACTTCCATCGTTGAGCAGATTCTGGATTTTGTTGTATGAATCTTTATCCATAACAACAGTAGCGTTGCCTTTATCAGCTGAGAGGATGACTATATCACTTCTGTTTTTTTTTAATTCGCGAGTTCAGAGCATTATTTTTTGCTGATGTTACTAATGGGTTTCTTAGCATTCTTAAGAATAGTGGCTATTTCAGCTCTCGCAACGTCTGCTTGGATGTGTCCTACATCTTTGAGGGCTACATCGACCTGAGAGATTATATCATCTACTGGTATGTGTTTTGGGGTGACAGCAAAATTTAGTCCCCTAGCCAGTACTGTTTTCAGATTGTCCGAAATCAGGGTGCTACTCTGATTAATGATGATTTTGTTAGCATCTAGTTTTGTTATATGTGGAACTGGGTTCTTCTTTGATAGGTGGTTGAATTTAGAAATCAGGTTAGCTTTACATTTGACTGACAGTGACTCAGCAGAAGAAGCAGTCATGTTGTCTACGTGATTCCAATCAGAAGGTGACATTTTTTGTGTTAACATTAAATGAGCTTGTAGGAGAGTCCTGTCTAAAGTATCGAGTTCAAATCGGAGTAGCCTTATCCTCTCTGAGATTAAAGATAGGCTGGCCTTAAGCAGAATCTGTTTAGAATTCGGAGAAGATACAGCAGCAGAAGTGAGTGTGAAAACGATGGGTATTACAAGCTAATCACTCAGCTATTTCAATGCTAAATTCTATGCTAATTCCTTTGTCAAGGGGTGCCTCTGCGGATGTGTATACTTTAACTTAGCTATTTCAATGAGCCATTTCAATGCTAAATTATATGCTAATTCCTTTGTCAAGGCGCTTTGTTTCTTCTCACACAGCTTAAAGGTCGTGATCTGAGCGTTGCTTTTTTCTCTCCAGCGCTGTCCTCCAGACAGTCTCGTCCCTTCACCTGATGAAGGCCGCTTGTGTTGTGGCCGAAACGTCGTGATTTTTGTTATTTTATTTTTTACCTACGTGACTTTACCCAATAGAACCAAAGAGTATGGATCCTAGCAGTCACGAAAGCTTTAAATCTAGAATGGCTATTATTCCCCACAAACTTTGCTTTCGGTACCAGGACAGTGATATTTTTAAAAGTACCTATTTTCCAAAACATTCCAGATATATTCAGTGCTGAGTAAACTTGGAGTAACTTCTAGAACATTCTAGAACTTTCCAGTAATTTAAATAGTGATGTAATGAGAGAGCGCCATCCAGTGGGTGCCAGAGGGTAACTGGGTACAGGCACTTATGTAATAGACATCCAATCCTAAGAGCGAATAACATCTGGGGCAAAGGTGACAGGCGGAGTGGCGAAGAATGCTTCGGGAACCATTGGGAAGGTTCCTCGAGGGGGCTTGGCTAGAGGCGGAGCCTAGCTCCGCCGGGGTGAATATAAGCAGAGGCAGAGGAGGACTCGAGGTCGGTGTGGGGAGCCTTGGGTCCGGACTGCGTCACTGTTGGTCAACTCCTCTCGGCGCCACCGACCACGTGGCGGGTTCCCCAGCAAAGCTCTTCTCTTCTCTCCGACGCGCCGCCAGCTAACAGCGAGACCGGGGGAGCGGAGCGAACCTCGCTAGTGCAGAAGAGAGAGATGCTCGTCTATGGTGTTGTGCAAGGGAAACTACCCGGAGACCGAAGGAGCGGAGCTGTGCAATACCACAGTTAATCAAGAAGCACTCTGACAAAGATCGTCGTGGAAGTCGTTTATTACATTGGAGTCAGAAGTGGTCCTTCAATAGAATTAATTTTACCAGTCGCGAGAATTGTATAAACATCTCAAGAAGAAGAACCCACCTAAAGCGTCTTCCAACGACGATGAGGCGGGGACCCAAGACCTGCCGACACCGGGATCCGTGGTCCCGGTCACAGGAACCACAGCTGGTGAGGTCGCTGCACCAGAGGCGGTCGGCGCGGCCGCGGCATCTCCGCCCCAGCGAGCTGGAGGAGGGTGGAGGAGCAGCTGGAGTCGCTGCGGACGGTGCTTCTTCAGTTGGTGTCGCTCGTTGCGACGTTTACAGTGGCGGGGCGTCCACCTAAAGCATCGCCGAGGGATGGTGATCGGAGGTCAAAGGCTGGAGCCTCGGCGGGTTCTCCTGCAGAGGCGACATTCGCCATTACAGGCGCTGAAGAGACCAAGTCCGCCATTACACGCGCCGTGGACGCCACACGGCAAGACGCCGCCATTTTGGACGGAGCGGCAAAGGCACGGTCGGAACCCGCCATTTTGGTCGGGCCACTTGGTGTGCAAGGTGCGGGGGCCGCCGCGGAGGTTGGACGAGGCGGTGCCGATCGCACCCGACGACTCCCTCGTGTTAAAGAATTTGTCGCGGCCGGCGGCGACTGGAGCGCCTTCACTTAGAGGTTTGAGGCGGCGTTCCGTTTGGTGCGCTGGTTGGAGGAGGAGGCGCTCGTCGCTCTACCGACTGTGTTAGATGACGATGCCCTGGCGGTGTTCAGGTCGACCCCTCCGGAGAAGAAGGCAACTTTACAAGGTGCGTATGCTGAGATGGCAGAAGTTTACGAGCCACCTTCCGATACACGACGAAAGTTTATGCAACGTAGGCGAGGGAGTTCCGAGTCACCTATCGCCTACCGTCGTGCGCTGATGGCGTTGGCTGTGGCCGCCTACCCTGACGTGAAACAAGAAGCCCTCGACTCGCTTGTTATGGACTGTATGCTGGCTCTGGCGAGGGACATGGGTGGTTTTGCCTGCGTGTGGCCACGATGTGGCAGTTTGTCAGAGCTGTAGATAAGGAGTCGGCAGCCTTCAAGTACCTTCAAGACTTTTTCCCTAAGCTGTCCGAGGCAAAGGTCAAAGCCGGTGTCTTCATCGGACCACGGATAAAGAAGATCCTGGAGTGCAATGAATTCCCCAAGAAGCTCACTCGTAAGGAGAAAGCGACTTGGAACAGCTTTGTCGCAGTGGTTCGTGGCTTCCTGGGCCATCACAAGGTCGAAAACTATGTGGAGCTGGTTGAGACTGGTGAAGAACTATGGCACAATGGGCTGTAGGATGTCCCTCACAGTCCATATCCTTGCTGCTCATCTTGATTAATTCAAAGAGAACATGGAAGCATACTCGGAGGAGCAAGGCGAGCGCTTCCACCAGGATATGCTCGACTTTGAACGCCGCTACCAAGGACAGTATAACGAGAACATGATGGGAGACTACATTTGGGGGCTGATTCGTGAAAGTGATTTACAGTATAATCGTAAATCTCGAAAAACTACTCCCTTCTAAATCTTTTGTAGTAATTTTTTTATTACTTTAGTATAAATGCATGTACATTTTTATTCATATGTAGTTTTTTTCTGACTTTTGAAAATAGGTAAATTTCGAAATATCATTGTCCTGGTCACAAATGCAAAGTTTGTGGGGAGTAATAGCCATTTTCTATACTTTTCAGGCATAAGGAATTAGGAAATAACACTTACTACCCAGGAACAAAATTGTGTTACAAAGTGTAATGAGATTAAAATAAAATAAAACATTCTATTGGAGGCTGAAGGCCTCTGGAGGAAGACTTAGCAGTCAGTGTGCATCACTGAGCCGGTTTGCCATGGAAACCTTGGGATGTGAAATCCTGGACCGTGCCTGTTGCTTTGGCAATGCAGCCACCTACATTCGGCACCACGGTGGCGAGATGTTAATTACCTTGCTTGGTATACAGGAGGTCGTGGGTTCGATCTCGACCCCTGGCGCCTGCTGTATATTTGAAGTTTGCATGTTCTCCCCGTGGTCGTGGAGAACATGCAAACATTTAGAAACATGCGCTTGAGTATTTGGCTGCTATAAATTCCCACATGATAAGCCACTTCATTGAGCTATCATTTGTGGCCAGGTCGCTTCTGAAAAAGAGCTATATAAATCAGGGGGCCTTACCTGGTAAAAACATTTTTTTTAAATAATTTGGTCTTCAGGACATCGTTGCCGTATTCTGCTGTACAGGTGAATTACAAGAAATGTTGAGAGCCAATAAATAACCCCCTGCCTGGCAAGTTTCAAAGGAGCTTTGAGCTTCCATCCACAATGCCAAATGATGGATGTGGTCATATGATTAACAAAAACCTCCTTGATAGTTCATGTTTTTTGTAAATACTTTCCTTACACTTACATTTTTTTCATTCTTTGACACTTTTGCTCAGGCCTAAGAACTGTTAGGACGTCACTCACTGCTGATATTAGCCATGGTCGCAAATCGAATTCAGGTCGCCAGGTCCATAGCGTCATGTTCAAACTACTGCTCCACCCCTCTGGGGAAAGTTGAGTCTTAAAAGGTTAATCTTGCTTGCATCCTGTTATAATGTAACTTTTGTCAGTGCCGCATAAAAGCTGACCATATAGCGCATATCTCTGCGCGCACCGTGCTGTTTGAATGTCACCGGTTGGTTGGCTCCATCCTGTTATGCGCGATCCTTAACACCTGCACCGTCCCTCGCCTTGGCAGGTGGTGTCTGGGTTCCGGCAGTGGCACTGCGTGGACCGGAGCGCGGAGTTCGAGCGTCTGGAGGCTGGAGGGGCGGTGGAACAGCAGGCACTGCTCTTCGGGAGTCCCGTCCGGGCGGTTCAGGCGCGGAGGCCTCACGACTCCTTCTTTCCGTCGCCGCTGGCCGGCCTGCACGCCATCGCGCCACTCCATGGCTGGTCCTTTATCCGCATTCCCGGTAGGTGGTGATGCCGCCCCGTCTGCTACAGAGCTGTGGCAGCAACCTTGAAGGCATTTGGTTGTTTTTGACTTAAACTTAACTAAAATTGAACTATTTGTCTTTTACCAGGTAAGGCCCACTGAACTATATACCATGAGGGATAAAAGTATTTGATCCCCTGCTGATTTTGTACGTTTGCCCACTGACAAAGAAATGATCAGTCTATAATTTTAATGGTAGGTTTGTTTGAACAGTGAGAGACAGAATAACAACAAAAAAATCCAGAAAAACGCATGTCAAAAATGTTTTTAATTGATTTGCATTTTAATGAGGCAAATAAGTATTTGACCCCCTCTCAATCAGAGATTTCTGGCTCCCAGGTGTCTTTTATGCAGGTAATGAGCTGAGATTAGGAGCACACTCTTAAAGGGAGTGCTCCTAATCTCAGCTTGTTACCTGTATAAAAGACACCTGTCCACAGAAGCAATCAATCAATCAGATTCCAAACTCTCCACCATGGCCAAGACCAAAGAGCTCGCCAAGGATGTCAGGGACAAGATTGTAGACCTACACAAGGCTGGAATGGGCTACAAGACCATTGCCAAGCAGCTTGGTGAGAAGGTGACAACAGTTGGTGCGATTATTCGCAAATGGAAGAAACACAAAGAACTGTCAATCTCCCTTGGCCTGGGGCTCCATGCAAGATCTCACCTCAATGATCATGAGAACGGTGAGGAATCAGCACAGAACTACACGGGAGGATCTGGTCAATGATCTCAAGGCAGCTGGGACCATAGTCACGAAGAAAACAATTGGTAACACACTACGCCGTGAAGGACTGAAATCCTGCAGCGCCCGCAAGGTCCCCCTGCTCAAGAAGGCACATATACATGCCCGTCTGAAGTTTGCCAATGAACATCTGAATGATTCAGAGGACAACTGGGTGAAAGTGTTATGGTTAGATGAGACCAAAATGGAGCTCTTTGGCATCAACTCAACTCGCCGTGTTTGGAGGAGGAGGAATGCTGCCTATGACCCCAAGAACACCATCCCCACCGTCAAACATGGAAGTGGAAACATTATGCTTTGGGGGTGTTTTTCTGCTAAGGGGACAGGACAACTTCACCGTATTAAAGGTACGATGGACGGGGCCATGTACCGTCAAATCTTGGGTGAGAACCTCCTTCCCTCAGCCAGGGCATTGAAAATGGGTCGTGGATGGGTATTCCAGCATGACAATGACCCAAAACACACGGCCAAGGCAACAAAGGAGTGGCTCAAGAAGAAGCACATTAAGGTCCTGGAGTAGCCTAGCCAGTCTCCAGACCTTAATCCCATAGAAAATCTGTGGAGGGAGCTGAAGGTTCGAGTTTGCAAACGTCAACCTCGAAACCTTAATGACTTAGAGAAGATCTGCAAAGAGGAGTGGGACAAAATCCCTCCTGAGATGTGTGCAAACCTGGTGGCCAACTACAAGAAACGTCTGACCTCTGTGATTGCCAACAAGGGTTTTGCCACCAAGTACTAAGTCATGTTTTGCAGAGGGGTCAAATATTTATTTCCTTCATTAAAATGCAAATCAATTTATAACATTTTGACTCTAAATGTGGAGGGAAAAACTGGAGAACCCAGAGAAAAATCCGCGCGACTACGGGCAGAACATGCCAACTCCAAATATACCGCAGGCGTCAGAGTCGGGATTGAACCCATGACATCCTGTATACCAGGCAAGGGGGATAACATCTTTCCACCGGGACTTGGGCAGTGTGTATCAGTTTTTGTATTTTAACTTGCATATGGCTTGGTGGCTCACCTAATTTTGCTGTGCATGTATCAGAGCGCTGAATCCTGCGTTCTGAGTTTGTATAGTGGAATATTATGCGCCCACCCAAAATAATTGCTGGTTTTCACGTGCAGCCGAGTTTGATGGGCCAACGACTGACGTGCCCGAAGTTTTTTAAAATTCGCAGACAGCTGGCGGACTGTGAAAGTTCACAATAAACAACACAGCACTGATATTATAAATAGCAATTAAATAATTATTCGTCAGCAGGTTAAGGTTTTTGCATTTTAAACTGGCATTCCATGGTTCTGAGACTGGTTGCAAATACTGCCATTACCCAGTTGCTTGGCAATATTATTTTTATTTTGCCTGTAAAAAATACCCTAATCACTGGTTAGTGATATTAATTGGCTGTGTCTGCTGCTATTATGTAAACTTTAATGTGGAACAAATTTGTATTATCAAGACCTCCTTGGGATAACTTTGGAATAAGATATCTTGAGAACTGACTAAATACACGTTATTGTGTATTGTTATTTAAACACCGATGCATTTCAAACCAGTTTTCCAAGACTGCTGCTTTCATGACGCTCGAGAGAAGTCGATGGTGTCCGAGTCCCGTTGTGGCACTTGGTGGCGCATTTCGTTTTGTTTGTATATATGTGCATGGTGCTCGCTTACAGCACTTTCCCATATAGTCTTTTAAGGCTATATGGGGGATCTTTGTCTTTGTATATATGTGTATGTTGGACTTCTTTTGCACCGTACGTAAGCAACCGTGCTAATCAGAGGTGCGTTTACGAGTAAGCTCGTGGAAGTGCAGAGACGTTCATGTCGTTCACCTTAACTGTTTGTGGGCAACCTGTCTGCATTGCTCAACGTCTGAAGCCTACGTGCTAATCTTTTCACTTTCGTTATTAAAAAAATAACGAAAGTGAAAAGTCAGAAAGTGAAATGGTTAGTGGCGATGATGAAGTGTGCTTCTTGCCAGCGAGGGCGTTCGTTCTCTGAAGTGCCGCCCCGCGTAGCTCGGTCAGGACACACAGGAAGCAGCTGCGCCACTATGCAGGAGCCCGACACCTCTGAGTTGATCATAAACGCCAACATTGTCCCCTCTTCCCGTGCTCCGTATATTTTTTTATTGTATTTCCTCCAGATTTCCCACGAAGAGCGGAATTGACAATGGTCTTTTACCTAGATATGAATTGAGCACTTGTCCAGCTGGCTGGGTTGGGGTGGAGCAGTGTTTAGCGCCGTGCGCTATGAACCCGGCGACCCGAGTTCGATTCCCAGCCCTGGCTAAACACTGGTGGCAAGTGATATGTGAACCAACCCGAACTGACCTCACCTTGGGGAAGTATGGTTAAAAACCCCCATGACCACAAGGTGTAGGGAGGCCTTCATCCAGCAGTGGATTTATATTGGGCTGCACACACACACACGCATACGATTGGCATTTTTGTAGTTGCACTTTGTGCGAGTGAAAATAAAGCGAAATTCTGTGACTGGAAGTTAAATGTTTCGAAAATTAGGCAGCAGATAATGCGCAGTGTGAGCCTTTGGAAGATGCCGTAGAGTGATGTTTTAACAATGAATCATGTTTAAAGGCAATTTGTTCTATACATTTTTGAACGTTTTGGACAAAACACTTGCAACCTTGGGGAACCAGAGCAAACAAATGCCCCATTGACCATTGACAAGTGACGAATTATTAAACTTAAAAAAACGAAGCAGGGGGGAAAATAGTTGAAGTAAGATGTAAATTAAATAAAATTAATTAAGTTTGCGTGTCCAGATTGTGTCCCTGCATGGTGGCTGTGGCGTTGCAGGCAGCGTACGGCCTTCATGAGCGAACGCGACACGCTTACCTACGCATTGTCACCTCCGTGTGAAGACTCATTCTGTAACTGTGTTCCTTGACTTTTTTCTATGTTTGCTTCTCTTTTAGTTATACGCCTCATTGGTTGGCTTTGTGTCACCCGTCAGGTCAAATTTAATTTGTTTTGTATCACATGTTCGGTAGACAACGAACACAAATGCACTTTGTGATGTTTAGCCATTTGGCTAAACAGCCATTTGGCTAAACATCACAAAATGCTGGAAGTTGTGGGGTGGGTTCCGTTCACCACAGAATCTGGGAAAGTGCAAGCGGTTAGCGTTAATTTTATCTCGAGAGGCGTAGTGCCGCTGATTTTAAAGACATTGTACTCACCGAAGAGAACCGTAGCGACATGACCGCACTCTACGATAGCCGGCGCCAAACTGTGGCACACACCCTCCCGCATGCCCCTTTATTGTAAAATTGATGATGTACGTGTACGGCAATGGGAAAGGGTTAAAAGGTACACAAACTTGTCTAAATGCAGTGTGATGCAGTCCGGTTGATTGATCCAGCATTCACTCCATCACTTGCTCCATGGTGGTCAGTTACCTCTTGTTACTCTTGTATCGCTGCTGCCATGGTTACAGTTGCCGTGAACTTCACTCATTGACTCCTTCGCCCATGTTGATTGAGGACTCGGTCTACCAGACTGTTTCACCTCCACACTGCATTGATCCACCACACTGCAGGTCTCGACACCACTTCTGCTTTTTACATCTCACTGCTCGATTTGGGAATTCCCTGCCTTTCTCTTCCCAAACGCTTATATGTATTAAAAAAAACACCTTTCCCAATTCAAGAAACGAGTGAACTCTTCTAGCTATGGCATCTTTAATAGTGAGAAAAGATTAGTTGTTTAGAGTACTGTGCTCTGCAGTGCAGCATTCGGCCTCAGTACGTGCTGTTTGTGTGCGTGGTGTGAGAAAGGATGTGTTGCGTGGTGTGCCGTGTTGTGCTGTGCGGTGCAGCAGCACGGCCTCAGTACGTGCTGTTTATGGCTGCGCGGTGTGAGAAAGGATGTTGAGCAGGAAGCCTGCGCGGCCCCGGTGTGTTTACCAAACGCAGGATGAGCTGCCGCACGCGTGGGTCAAGGACGGGCCGCAGGGGAAACCACGGTACCGCTCCCATTGTGTCAATGATGAGAATTGGTTGCCGCTATCATCGCGCGCCGCCGCGCACCCCGAGCGAGCGCTTCCTGGGCCCCTCTCCCTGGGCCCCTCTCCCTGGGCCTGTGCCCGCTGCACTCCCAGCCGCTCCTCACCCTCATGCACTGGGAACCCTGCATACATTTTTTTGTTATTAAAGCCTCCCCTCACCCGCCTGTGTTTTCTGGTGACTTGCAATGATAATTGT